TGTATTTTTGAAACTGTGTTGTTTCCCCCCCCCCCCGCCATGTTCTTTGCATGTACAAATTTTTGTATTTTTAAGGCTCTTAGTGTCATCTTTTCAGTCTGCCCTTTCCCTTATTTGCTCTTCTCAGTTATTAAGATGTACTCATACATAGCAAATAACTGCAAGAAAACAAAACATTCCTTAAATTTGCTTAAACAAGACATTCAATACAATTACACTTTATGGAAATGCTCTAACAAACACCACCACAGTTCAACAATACAGCAGTTATGAGCCCTCTAGCTTTTTAAGACATTCAGGAAAAAGCAAAGAAAATTCAGATATTGCATGATCTCGAGCTCTATGCTATAGAGGCTCTGTGAGAAAATGAAAACTGCTAATCTACTTTCCAAGTGAAACATCGTAGGTGATTGCTCTAACCTGGGGCACAGTACATTCTCTCTATGGCATCGTTGTCACAGGAATCTTCAACCTCCCTCCACCTGCTAAAATACGTTAGCTGAATGTGTCCTAAAAACAAAACGACAGGAGAAATCAAAACATTTTTCCCTTCCATTTTCTGCAGAAGTGAACTGTAATTACTCCTTTTGTAGCTAAAAACAGTATCATTAAGAATAATGGCATCATTAAGTACTAGAAGCTATTACTGGGGGTGAATTTGCTGCACTGATAATGAAGCTCTAGACAGGAAATGAAGATACTAATTACAAGATAAAACGCCTACTCAGTTAATTGGAAGCAACAGCGAATAAAAAGAAATGCATTTGCAAAAGTTCCTGACCTCTATCATTCAATAAGATGTTGTTTGGGTTCAAATCGCGGCACACAATTCCTTCTCTATGTAAAGCATCAAGGGCTACAACCATTTCAGCTGCCCATCTTTGAATGCAATCCTCTGGGATATAAAACCTGGAGGTTATTGCTAATCTTTCGTCGAGGTCCTGAAAAATTTGATGTACTTCCTTCTCCCCTGCTACTGCTATTTTGTCTTCCATCTTTGGTGCTGTCTTTTTACTTTCAGCTGCTGGTAACAAAGCTGAGTCTGCTTCCTCTTTCCCAAAGTCTTCAGTTTGATCAGAAAACAGCAACACTGCTTCATTTCTTAACATGTCTCCATCCAAGCTAACATCTTGAGCACCTGAGAGCGGGCTGGAAATAAACAAACTTCCTTCTTTGCTTGTCATGTTTAACGAGCAGGCTCCAAGCCCTTGAAACAGAGCCCCGTCTTCTGAACTACCTACCTCTTGATCAGATGTAAAGAGGGTCCCAAGAGCTCCCTGAGTGACACCGCTTTGTCCATTTGCTTCCTTGCAGGAAGGATCACTGACTTCTGGTGCCACATGATTTGGCTCTCGATCAAATGCTTTGCATGGCTCTGCAGAATTATTTAACTGTAAGACATCAGGTGTTTCTAGGAACTTTACTTCCAACATGTCCCTATCGGGTTTTGTAAACTTTGTTGGCCTTGACACTGCTGCCTCTTCTGTTTCATCAGACATACCGGGTAAGTTTATTAGGAGATCAGGCCTTCCTTCATCAACGCTATTTACATCATCAAAAGCAGCATCCTTAAAGGAGATAACTGGCACAGAGTCATTTGAACCCCTGCTTACAGTGTCATGAGCTCTCACACTCATTTTGCTCTCTAGGGCATCCAAGCTTCTGTCATGATCTGGGACAGAAAACAGTGGCTTCAAAGGCTCTGATTTCAGGTTATATAATTTTTCTCCAAAATCAAGCCCGAGGAGCTCACTAGTGCTATCTTTGCTGTCTATCCTGAAGAGTTCCATGGGGCTGTTCTTTGATTTAGTTAATGAGTCCAATATCCTAGTAGGGCTAGCTACTTCCAACTCAGCATCATCAATGAAAAGCTTTTGTTCCTGAGATGCAATCTGAGAAGAGAAGCTATCACTGCCAACGACACTGCATTTCTGTAAGTAACTTCTTTCTTTGGTATTTAAACCTTCGCTCTCCAATTTAACCACTGGTTCCTCATTTAGAGAGCCAGAATCAATTTTTTCTTGCCCATATTCATTGCATAATGTTAAATAACTAGTAGTGCACTCTTCTTCTGAGCTGGATCCTGAGTCCATCCACTTTGAACTCTCTTGGCCATCTTCCTGGTTGCTGCTGTCATCCTGAGAGCTCGGCGTTAGGCTGCTCTTCAGTGGGACCACCTGCAGTGTGCTCTCCCCATAGCTTTCTCTGGAATCAGTGCTGCTACCCATTTCTTTAGGACTAGGTGTTGGCTGCTCCAGGTAAATTTTAGTTGAAACAGATATTCTGGGTTCAGGAATTTCAAAGCTCTCTTCAGGACTTCTGTTTAAGAACTTACTGACATAAGACCACAGTTTTCCTCCTGTAAGAAAAGAGGGGCGGGGGGGGAATCTCTTAATTTTACTCAAAGCAGAATTTGTTTCATTATGAAACAGGAAAATACCCTCATTGTCACAATACATGCCCACAGAGCAAGTTGGATCCGCTGTCTCAGGAGGAAATAATTACAGGGACCACAACTTGCTTTTCAAGCAGATTTGTATTATTACATAAATATTTAAAGAGCTGCATCTGAGATTAAGCTGCTTTTTTTTTTTTTTAAACTTCAATAAAGTCTCGTTTCAGAGTCTGTCTCAAGTTGCATGGTGGTCACTACTCTCCATCTGCTGTCTCGAAAGAAAGCAAAAACTAGGGAAGATCAAATGGTTTAGTGCCCATCATCAGTTCTGCCTGTACTGAATACTTCTGTATCACAGCTCCAAGCTTATAAGCAACATGAGGGGAGATGGGCTAAAAACTAATTAGCAAGTTCGGTAAGGGGAAGGCAATTACCTCGTATTAGCAGGATATTTTAAGAATCTGTTTCTCTCTTTGAAGTAGTAGTTTTTGTTAGTTAAATATGGACGTATTTTTCCCTTTAACTTCAGAAGTCAACCTTGCTGCATTACACAAGATTTATCAATACTCTATGTTACACTGGCAAACCAGTTCATCCACATCAAAGACTAAGAAAGTTACAGCTCTGAAAGTAATAGTTACGTCTCAAAAATATAAAATAGGACTGTGTTTCCAAATATGGTTCATATTGGTCTCAAGTTGCGACAGGGGAGGTTCAGGCTGGACATTAGAAAGAACTTCTTCACTGTTAGAGTTGTTAGGCATTGGAACAGGCTCCCTAGGGAGGTGGTGGAGTCATCGTCCCTGGAGGTGTTCAAAAAACGTTTAGATGTGGCACTTCAAGACATGGTTTAGTGGACAGGGTGGCATCAGGTATACGGTTGGACTTGATGATCTTTGAGGTCTCTTCCAACCATAATGATTCTATGATTCTATATAAAAAAAAAAAGCTTACCGATTATAGAACATAATTTGCACAAAACAAATCAGGAAGTTACTGCATCTCTTGTACGTGCCGAAGAATTTGGCTCAAGGCTAGAAAGCCACCTTTGATAACTTTTGGAAAAATGCAAAGTCAAGACATTTCAATTTAAAAGATTGTACAGAAATTCTGGAAAATGCAGGAGTTCTAACAAAATCTTTGTAGAAGAAAAAAAAAAGAAGTACCCAGCCCACCGGGCATCTGCAAAGTTTTGATTGTTTTTTTGTGGGTTTGTTTTTTGGTTTTGTTTTGGTTTGGGTTTTTTTGGGGTTTTTTGTGGTTTGTTTGTTGTTTTTTTTTTTAACTTATTTGGATAAAACAGAGTTTTGCATTTTTCAAAAGTACAGTCTTTATTCGTTATTTTTAAACACTCTCCATATCAGGCAAAATTCCTTTAAAAAGTACAATAAACGAAGAAAGTATTTTTCATTGCCTAGGAACAGGTTTTCTATATTCCCAGGTATTTCAAAAATAATTTATCAAAGGCAGAAAAACCTTGATACTTTAAAAATGAATTTGAATAATATAACATGGAGTTTTCTTGCACTCCATCCCCCTGGCTAAGACAAGACTTGTTTTTGAAGTGAGAGAGAAAGAAAAAAAAAATCTCACTGGTTGTGGTGAAACTAAGTATATTAAAAATATTAAGAGGGAATTCTAACAGCTTGAGTCCAATGGTAAAAATGACAACTTAGATCTATTAATCCACATGGTTTCTGCCATAAGCTACAAACGGACCCAGTAGGTCCAAATGACCCTTGCCACCTCCTAGAAGACAATGAGAAAGGATGCCAGGCAAATGAACAGGGGCAAACAGAAGCAATGCTCGTGAAGAAGGGAACAAACACTGCTACACTGACTACTGAATTGCATAAGCACTTTAAATACTTACCCAGAGATGCATTCGAAAATCCTACAAGCATGCCGTGCCACATTGCTGCAGCAAGACATGGCTCATCAGTCACTCCCAGCAGAGCAGCAGCCCTCAGCCCAGAGAAGCAGGCTGCCTGCCCGGGCAGCCACTGACTCTGAGCTTGCCTGGACACAAGCGACCTGCCGCCCTGCATCGGTGAGAGCAAGGGCCCTGGTCCTGCCAGAACCGCCCAACGAGCGGGACCTTGCCGCCGTGAGCAGCAGTGAGCCCATGCAGACTCTGAAGATGAAGACACTTGCCTTA